GAAAGAGTGATGTACGGAAATTCTAGTCGTAATTTCTTTTGCGAGTCTCGTAACCAACATTTTCACGCAACAGCTGCACGCAATATCGCATTGTTTGACGATTTTATTTTTCCCTCATTTTTCTTTCTACCCGCCCATTATCTCTGTGTCTCCCATCTTCCTCTCTATCTCTCTCTCTCTTGCTGTATCTCGCTCGCTTTATCTACCTTTATCCACCCAATTCATCCTTCCTTCTTCCTTTTAACGATCCCCATCCTCCTCGTGTACACACAACCACGCCCAGACCAGCTTTTATCCAGCACGCGGTAAATGGCGATTTTATAATTCATGGAGCATCGTGTTTCATCCGGTCTATCGGCCATGCCGCGGTGCGTCGACAAAATGGCCGCTCTAACGCACGGGCCAGCAGCCCGTTGCCACTTCGTTAGGATAACCGATCGACCGTGGTTTATTTCGCGCCGATGTTTCACAAATCGAGCTTTACGCGCGACCTTCGCCACGCGTCAAGGATGCTTTGTTACTCATCCACATCCACATTTGCGCGTAAAAGTGGCACGTGGAGGGTTATGCAGGAAGAACGGGTTAGTCCAATGAAACACTTCATTCCGTTTCTCCTCAGCATCTAAATTGCTCAGATTGCAAACCGCTTCTTTATTTTTCTCTGCAGTTAATTTACAATTAATTTCGTGCTGTGTTAATCTGGTTCCAAATGAAGATCATTCTGGGTCTTAATTAGAACCGACGGAACACGATGTTGTACTAAAAATTTTCTCCTTAAACCTAACCATCGAAGTATTTCATTAAACAAATTGCCGGAGTGCATTAACACTTCAGGCTCACTATTCACAGTCTCCACGACCCAACTCTCACCTCATCATCGAACCTCACCCCATACATCTTCCTATTGAAAACCGTATCAAGCACTCGCTGCTCTGTTCTACGTAACTCGAGCACAAATAGTGAGCAAAGAGGGATGAAAAGGGGTAAACATGGAATAGCGCACAGAACGAGCGGCTGCAGGCGTTAACGCTGTGAAAACTTGGAAAATGACGGAGTAAGTAGGATATACAGGTGTACGATGGCGCACAGGAGCGATGGGTTCGATTACGGCTCGACACGGGAACAACCCCGTCGTCGTTGCCTCGAATCTGGCTTAACCGCTCCCGGATAAATGCAACGACCTTGATAACGATCGGGATTATTCGACTGACCGAACGCGTTGCAGGGGCAGCTGCAGAGGTAGCTGGCCGTATCAGGAACTAACGCGTAATTTCCTGTCAGTCCAACGTGGTCGCGTTAGCAAAAAAGGAATAAGAATTAAATTGAAGGGGAATAAAAGATGATACACGAGGTACGAGAATATGATATAACAGTATAATATAATATAACATAAATATATAATAATATATAATAACAGCAATATGAAGAACAGTGTCGTGACGTTTTTCGTGTTTTGGTATCCGCAGATATCATATCGCAGGGGTATGCTATATCGTATGAGAGTCGACCATATGTCAGACGTGAAGCGCATACGTTCGCGGCGATGCAAGAATCGTCGCGTGAAAGAGCCTTAAATGTTTCCCGCGATGGTGAATTAACCAGGGTAGAGTTTGCGAGCTCTGTGTGACTTTCCTGGTAACGATGTGCAAAAGACGGCTATTGTGAGAGTCGACCATATGTCAGACGTGAAGCGCATACGTTCGCGGCGATGCAAGAATCGTCGCGTGAAAGAGCCTTAAATGTTTCCCGCGATGGTGAATTAACCAGGGTAGAGTTTGCGAGCTCTGTGTGACTTTCCTGGTAACGATGTGCAAAAAACGGCTATGGTGTTGAGCAGGGCAAAAGGTGAGGGAGGGGAAAAGAATGAAACGCGTGACCTTTTATTTCCTTAGAAAAAGCTGGCGCGAGCAACGTAGCTGAAACGGGGAACATCCCGTATCCTGGAGGAAATTCCAAGGCCGATGGAAATTATCGTTGCCCGCCGCTGTGCCGGAAGTCATGCGCGAATATTCCGCGAGAAGCGTTTAGCAAGTCGTTGCAGGAAATTTTCATCCTACCTCCTGGAATTTTATAATGGATGTACACGGTCTTAGACTGTCTGTCGACTATATCGCTTTCAGTCGGCTCCGACGTCGCGGGTGGTATCGTCTAGGTGATTTTTCGTGGAATTAGTAGACCAGCAGGGCGATGCTTATTCATTCCTTATCGGTAAAGGGTTGAAGAGATATTCTTTTACCTTGATTTATGCTTCCACGTAATGGTGAATGATCGAAGATGACCCAATGGAGATTTCGAGATGATGCGAGAACACAAGTATAGAAAGTAATAGAGAAAGGAGAGACCGTTGGATATATAGAGGTAAAGACTCGGTTAAAAAATTCTTGGCAATTTAAAAAATTTGTTGGATCATAGAGTCATCATTATTTTCACTTACGAACACTGTATCGTAGCTTTCAACAGGGCTAATTTACAAGCGCACGATATCACGACTAACCATACCTTACACGAGTGAAGCACATAGAAATTCTGAGACTCCATAAAGATCCTATCACGAATCCTACGACCTAAGTAAGTAGCTCCTATAAATCTTGTAGCCCAGTACCTACCTCGTAGACTCGCAAATTGTCCGCAGGGTCTAGATTTATAATAGTGCTCAGTCTCCGATTAATTCCTGTATTTCGTTATACCAAAAACTGACCTCTAACTAAATATACAATAATATTCAGTTTCTGCAATGACATTGCCACCAGGGCTGAGATCTAGGTAGCCATGAAAGCATTTCTCTAACCCAATGAGGAGCCTCGTAGATCAGTTTAACTTGTGAATGTGACAAGACCTAGATTTTCGAATAATCTCAATTCTCATGGCTATTTCTACATTCCATATGAACTACGTAAAAGCTTTTAATAAAACATAAGAACTTTAAGCTTTCAAAGATGTCACTGCCGCCAATCCGAAGAGCTAAGTAACTATTAGATCATTTACCTAAACTTAAAACAACACTTTTCTAGTTCACTATCCTAATATCCATGTCCCGGTTCATACATTTCATCTAAAGTATCACAAACGTGAACTGCCAAATGAAATATGTCAAAATCATGTACTGGCGCGGAGATTCTATCACCTAACACCTAATTAGCTACTGAAGTATAATGCACGTGGTTAATTTAGATTGTCACAAGACCTAACTTTCAATCAAACGCGCGAAGAGTCCCCTTCTCATCGGTTCCAAGATCTAAGTAGCTCCTGAAGCATTTCCCAATCCATCATTCTAATTCCTATGCCATAATATACGTGAGCAATTTGAAATGTCGCAAAACCTCATTTCCAGTGAAATAGGCAAAAATCGTGAGAATTCAAGAAGATCCCATCACTGGTTTTGAGACTTAAACACCCTCTGCCGCGTTTTGCAAGCCCAAAGCTGAGCCCCACAGACAAGTACCTTGCTGGCGAACGCAACAGGGTCTGGAGTTTAAATAATCTTCATTCCCAGGCTGACGCTCAAGTCGTGTTCGTTCACGACAAGAAAATATCAAGAGTTCCCGGGTTAATGTTGCGAGCGAAGTATGTGACACGATAAAGGATCGCGCGCGCTCGTCCTCCGTGGTGCCCGACTATTGACTCCTGATATTCACCCTCTTTTCCGCCTCGTAAACACGCCGCTCGGCCGCGAAAAAATAGCTCCCGAGAATGAACTGCGCGCGCGGAAGTGACGCGTGAAAAGGGTGTGTCATTTACGAATTTATTTTATCGAGAGGGTGTGAACGGACGCCGGGGGTGCCATCGCGGTGAATGCCGGCATGACTAGCGACTGTCTGGCAATCTATTTCGCGGCCTGTACTTCGAACGCGTGTTTCCTTTCTTATTGCTACGCCTGGGTGTCTGGTGAAACTTTTTCGCAGAACACCGAGATGGCGCGCGATCTGTAATGGCGCGTGGGGTTTGTTGTTGATGGATAGTGTTTAACACATATTTTCTTCGTGTATCAAGTGGGATAAGACGACTAGTGAGCATTGTATCGTATTTTGTTAGCGTGCACGAATTTTGGACGCAGGTAAATTTTTCCAGAAATTTTTCCAGAAGTTTTTCGACAGTGAAGAGGGAATATTCTAGATGAGAAGCAGTGTCCTTAATACCTAACGGGGTGATTAGTTAAATTAGTTTTCGAAATTACGAAAATTTTATAAAATCTAAAATATTTATTAACGGAGTGGAAACTTCTTAATGGGGTGCATTGCTTGTACAGTAATATGTCATATTTATCTGATGCACATTTAATGTCATGTATAAATAATTTAAAGGTCTCAGAAAATATTCGAAATTTTCTTAAATTATAATTAAATATTAAAAGACGTACTAGAAGGTTATTCATGATGCTGATGTATTTAGTACTATTTCCATGTGCATCAAGTATCAAATTCTGATGAATAGATTCTCCAAAAATGCTGAACATTTCATAAGATTGTGATGCCAGAAGCGAAATTAAACTGCAGTACAAAGAAAGCATAGGAAACCAAAATTTCGCGAATAATATATTGCAAAATCGTCAATTAAATTATCGCAGTATATGATTTATTCCCTATAATATTCATGCTGTATCTTTGTATATTTAAACCCGAGGAAATTCTAAATTCAAAATCAACTGGAATATAATCACGTTGAAAGAATGGTATAATTCATTCTAATTTAAAAAAGCACACGTATGTATGTGTGTGCGTCCTATTTTATCCGCGCTGCGACGACACGTGATGGTTACTAAATCTCCGGACTCGGAAAATTCCGTGACCTCATAAATAATGTGTCGGAATGAATGTTTATTGTCGTACGTGAAGGGATCATTTTAAATTTGATCGTATTTGGAGCAGCCTGAAATATGTTTTGCATATTTACGTTTCAGATGGCACCTGATGTTACGAGCGAAACGGGGTGGCCTCGTATATCGCGGGGATCTTTACATACGCGCGTGGCAGCTGCAAAGTGAATCCCGTCGTCAGGCGCATCAGCATCAAGGAAATATTTGCCTGTCGGTAAGTAACATTTTCTCTGTACTTTAATAATTTTAACAATCAAGTATATCGAACAATTACAGGTGGATCGAGTTTTTCAATATTGGTTACTCGCAATTAGATAATAGATAATTTCTGCCTTGCAATTTTAATAATTTCAGTAGTGAAATATCGTGTAAAATGGGTTATTTAAAAAATTCAGGGCTTAGCATCTGCCAGGAATTATTTTCTTAGTACTGCGATATCTTTAGTGGTCAATTATGTGCAACAATTAAACGTAAATTGAGAGAATTCTAGAATTTGGTGTTCTCAATTAGGCGGTGTTTAATTATTTGTGTAATTTCTTCATACAAATGGTTTCAGTGGTCAAATATCCTGTAAAATAGAATACTTGAAAATTTAGGATTGAGCACCTGACAGGGCTTTTCTTCTTAGTATTGAGATCATTTTCATGGTCAACTGTGTATGAGAATGATTATGTAAATAGGAGGTATTAAAATTCGGTGTCCCCAGTTGATCAGGAATTTCCTATTATTATTTTAATAATTTCTGTGGTTAAATATGGTGGGAAATCAAATGTTTTGAAATTCGATACCGTCTATCAGTCGGTAATCTGTTATTATTGTTTAAATAATTCCGATGATTAAATATCGTGGAAAATCGACTGTTTTAAAATTGAATATTGTTTATGCATCGGAAACTTTTTATCATTATTTCAATTGCTTCGATAATTAAATGTATCGTATAGAACCAAGTTTCGAAGAATTATACGCAAATAGGTCACCCAGAAAACGAGCACCATCGATCAGTTCTTACGTATTTAAACGATATATAAAATTGAGCATTTTAAAAATGAATTTCATTTATCATTTATGTACATAGAGACATTGGAAAATATTTTAGTTTGCTTCGAGATATACGTCTTTAACACACGCTTTACTCTAATTGTACTGAGACCAAAAATAATACGAAAGTATCGTACAAATGGAGGGGATTAAAAATGTTATCAAGAATTTAGAAGAAAATATGGAACACACAGAAAATAATGGCCCCATTCTTATAATACTATAGAACATAAACAAGTTTTACGATGCTTATACTGCCCATTGGTATTGACCAGGCTTCTTCTCTTTAATATCTCATTTATTTAGCAAATTGCAAAAAATTTTTTTGTTCAAATCAAATACTTTCGGACCATCCATTTTTCTACCTGTCTATCCCAGAACACTCCAAATATCTCACTGAAATACGTCAAGAGCCTCACAATCCCAACTTCGATACAATCACCATAAACTAACCGATCATACAATAATCAAGAAATCGAGAAATAAATCCATCATCCCCCCTTTCTAGTTCTACATTTTTATCAGGATTTTTTAACGAGCCACATATAACACCACCCAACACTCTCGTCTAATGCTACACCCATAAAACAGGCTACCATAACTCGTACATAAACCTCTGCCGCGGTCTGGCCAAGAAAATTAATGAAACCGCCATTACAGACTACATACGTATCGCGACAATGCCTCGCTGCAACCATAGTTACTCACTGCTCGCAATCCTGCGCAGCTGATATCGAAACTCTCGATAATAAAATTCATTAGCCCCCCGCCGTTTTCTCGATGTTCAATTCGGTTCTGCCGTCATGAACGACGCGATCGAGAAAGGCTACACAATATTAATACTTCAATTAAGTTTCCAGACCGCTCGACGTTCATGCTACTTTATGACCCCTTCTGCTTTGATCCCCACGTTTTAATATTTCCACCGTTCTTTCGGCGACGTTAGCTTCATTTCACGTTCGAGTGCAAGTACCAGCGACCCGCCGCGGGGAAACGCCGCGATAAAAGTAATTGAACAAATTAGCCCTGTGGAGAAGAAAGAAGGGTGAAAGACGGAGAGACAGAGAGACGGATACCGCGAGCCGGACCGCGCTTCCGTCCCGCTCTTAAACTCTTTCGCAGATTAATTGAGATTCCTCGGTCACGTCGTATCGCCATAATTCTAATTAAATAGATTCGGGCTTCCACTGCCTTCCTTTCGTACTCGGTTCGTATAGCCGCACCCTCGCACCCATCCGCGACACCCATCGCTCGGGCACAATTCGTTCCGGTCGTTAACGATTCAACTCGTGGAAACTCGCCTGTTCCACCCGACCGATGGCTTTTACTGTATAATTTCTCCCTTTTCTTCTTTCCCTTCCTCTTCCCTTTCTTCCTTCGTTCAATTGCTTCCTATCGATTTCGATATGTGATATTTATCTTCGTGATTTGTCGAGACAGAGGAAAAGAACAGTCCTTGGAACGCGTTTGCAATTTGTTCTTCGCGTTTGTATTCGTGGGAAGTTGTAAGGCTTGGAATGGTTTGCGGTTAGTTTTGCAAAACGGTAAAAAGGATGGAGAAATAATTACAGCGTTATATGCCCCTCTGTATATCGGACAATTTTCGTCCCAAACATTCTTCCGTGGGATATATAGTTTATGAAGGAATTCAAATGGTATAGTTGCACGAGACTCATCCTGGATACTGACACAAGCGACGACGCCGGGCCCATTGGTTCCCAAGTTTAGATGTTAGCGCTTGTGTCTGAACTACGAACTACCATCGGGGTATAGCAACAGAAGATTTAGAAATAATAATGATTTCTCTTCAGACACTGCGATTCGAATTCCCCAAACCTAACCTAACCTAACCTAACCAAACCTAACCTCAGGATGGCCCACAGTCCGTGTATCAAAACATTCTGCTTACCACCCGAAGCCAATTAAAACCAGTTGGACTTCCATGCACGTCGTAAATCTCGAAATAATCACCACCCTATGCCAGTCAAGGTCCAGTCCCTAACCTTACCTAACCTGACCCTAGACTCGCGACCAGCGAGAGATTTCCACCTAACCGCACGACGAAAAGTCAGAGGCGTCGATCCGCACGTAGGTTGATTAGTCACGGTCGATGGAGCTGGTTGTAGTCCCCTCGACGCGTGTTCCGGCGCGTGTACGCTCGGCGAGGCGGTAAACGTCAGGACTCCCCTTCAAACATGTCGAATTGTCTGTTGCAGGAGGGCGGCTGTTCGACACCGCGTGTCGCCAGCGTGTCAGTGCAGCTCGAGCAGGACAGCAACAAGTCGGAACAGCTGGAGCGGGCGCCACGTTGCAACGTACGTACCTGTAGACAGTCGAGAAAAGGCAAGGCACGCGTGACCGCTTCTGCACTGTTGGTCCAGAATCTTCTGGAGACGCTCTAGCTCGCGGGACTGCTCGACTAACTCTCCGCCCCTCCCTTTGCTTCTCATTCTCTCGGCTCCAACGAGAGCTGGACGAGTTCGTTTCCCGTCTGTTGCTCGTGGTCCTGACACCACCGAGTCGAACGTTCGTTGGCACACTTCGCTATTTCCTGCGAATCCTGGTCCTTCACGATGCGAACAAAAGGGACAGAGGCGGAAAAGGTGGATATAAATCGAGAGTGCCGTTGTTTCCGCGTCTTTTCACGTGATACGCGGCTCGGTTTCGTTGCCATTGACGAACAGTCGCGAGCTGGAGAGAGATTCGAGGACTTCAGATGGCGCTGCGTTTCGAACAATTCGCGGTATTGAAAGATACCCTGCTGTGTGTATCGAAGGTGTCATGGAGGATCGAATGGCTGCGTTTCCTCGAGAAAGGACCAAGCGAGCTGTATATACGACGACCGGTTCTCCCACGTTCATGGTGCACCTCGAGGCGGCACGAGCGAAGAAGGCAGACCTAACCTCGTCGGACGAGGTTATGGTGTAACGTGCGATAGACGTTTCGCGCCAGTTGGTCGGATGATGGATCGGCGTTGGTAATATAGTTACTACTATCGGTAACGTCGACGTGTTTCTAATAAATTTTCGCTGTACTTGGAGTGTTGCTTTCGACGTTCTCAGAGTTACAGTGTTCGCCACGGCGCTACCAGCCCGTTGTCGCGTCTCTTGATGTTTCCGATGCCTCGCGATCGAGAGAAATCCCGCGTCATCTATAATGCCTCGAAATGTGAAGGAATAATATTCGATCGTTCGGGACGAGGCGAGTTTAACGAGAGTCGATTCGGAAACTTAACCTAACCTAAACTAACCTACCGCCCCTAATGATCGGTTTTCTTGTTTTCTTTTCGGGAACTACGTGCATCGGGTATCGTATCGACGTTCGTGACACGTCGGGAAAGAATTGTCGGGACATCGTGCAGATCGACAGCGAATACCGAGCGATCGGATCTACGCTTGCCATCTGCTGAAGCATCGCTTCGAAGAGTATTTTTCTTTCTCTACTTCGTTCCTACGAGACAGAAGCGTGTCTTCGCGATGGAAAACGTGGACAGTCCTCTTGTTGACTACAACGAACACTCGGTGAGGTCCCCGCCGCGAGATGACGCTGCGAGCGTTGAACGAGAGGGCGCCACTGTCGGTCTCGAGCTTACTTTTCCACGCGAGTTTCGCGATATCGGTCAAGGAACGAACGAACGTGTAGCTGGATCGGTGTAGTCGTTTTCCTTGGGTCGTTCCTCTGCGCCGGGCACGTAGTTCTCAGCACGTATGTAATTACACGGTGCCAATATTTAGCGTTTAATTAAACGTATCGGCGTTTATGGCCGTTTGGTATGGCTTTTGTAAGAAAATCAATCTAACGAAATGTAATTTGACGAAAGCAGAGAGTAGGAAGGATAATAATGATATATATCATTCTTCGATGAGCTTTGTTCGGCAACGTTTCGAACGTTCGGGTAAAGCACGAGTCTTCTGATGTCAGGATTCCATTGTACACAAAGGTGCAGCTGTAAGATTTTATTATGCAATCGAGAGAAATTAGACACGATGTCCTTACTTATTATTCGGTAAATTTTGCATTCGAATAAGAAAAATTAAATGCCAGAAAAGTGTGTTACATTTGAGAATTGCGATGTTCGTCTTTGCAACGTTATGTTCATTTTATCAAAGAATATTGAATCCTTCCAACAGTTACAGTAGTCGTTGCAGCGAAATTGTCGGGCAATTGTTTTTAATTTCGGTCACCGGGGAACGCTATCAAATTTAATATTAAGGGATGAAGAGATTTCAGATGGCACGTTTCCCCCTTTTCGAAAATTAAAGCCATATTTGCTCCTATCTTTTGCACCTGCGAAATCGTGCTCTTCTAAAGTATGCAATTTAAAAGTATCGAGAAATTCCAAGGGGACTATCATGCTGAAATCCTCCGAAAAATGTAACTGCTCTTATATAATACCTTCAAATATGTAAATTCCCTATAAAGTAGAACTTAATGCGTTATTTAATTTCGTTAACTTAATTTAAATTAATTTTTAATCCTCCCACAGTGATTATCATCGCAGTGACTACAAGAACTATACGCATTTACATATTTTCATTCTTCTACAAATATTTACCACGTTATTACTAATTTCACTTAGTTTATTATAAAATTTTATTATGGTTCTATATTTTTTTTATTTGCTCGTTACAAATGTACCAGAAATAAGTTTTACGGTATATTTAAATGCACTTAACAAGCCAGTAATCCCAGCTTTAATTGAATGGGAAAAATAACGCGAGAGAGCATTGAAAGCCAGAAGCATCTGAGAAACGTCGCTGACCCAGATGAAACCAGGTCGCCAAACGTGCATCCAATCGTTCGAAGTTTCATTTAAAATCAACCTATGAATCGCACGGCCGTTGAATCAAAACGAAAGGGAAACTAGCTCGGCGTCCTGCAGCGAGATGAACCAATCGATCGTGGACCATGTCCCTCCATCCGGTAAATGAACGAGTCGCGCATTGCCCTTACACTGTTGGAAAGGACAGCAACGGGGCATACTTCGATTAAAAGCAAGTTCGATCCCGAGTTCTTCTGTCTATCCTTCGATCTGAGGGATCGTCCGAGATACTGATTCAAACGAGGCCGAAAGTAACGCAGAACGTTCCTTCGCCCTCTGTTTTTCTTCAATTGCCACCTTCTATCCGCCCCTGCCATCGCAAATCGTCGCTTTAAACGAACGCCGTCGTCGAAACGTTGCCAAAACTTAATGGAAGACCAATGTATATACGCTGTACACTAACTGATAAAGAAAAGAATAAAAAAAAAAAAAACAGAAAAAAAACTCGTGAAAACATCGAAATTTTCGGCGATGCTTATTGAACAATTCTCTATTACGATATTGTACGTTCGAGTAATAATAATTCAAGTGGACTTCTCGCGCGATCGTCGAATCGGTCGTTCTTGAAAGCTTTATGTGAGACAGCGAACGAGTGAGAGAAAAAGGGCGAGCGCGAGAGAAAGAGAGAGAGTGAGAGTGAGAGAGAGAGAGAGAGAAAGTTGTATGCAGTTGAAAGCTTCGAATAAGATTCGTGGATGTCAAAATGCACAAACGTGACATGAATTTGTAGATAACGTTTGCATTGGTTCGTGTATACATCCTATCCTCCCCTCCCAGACACTTGGATCTCCCCACTCCCATCAATCCGTGTACTCCAAGCCCCAATCACATTTTCTCATCGAATATTTTCAAATCGAAGCACGTTGGTGATGAAACAGTGGAGACTGTCATTAGCCAAGCAGCAATTTACCTCACGAAACCGCTTCTGAGGATCGATCTCGTTGCCAGATACTAGCGAGACGCGAGCAACAGGATCGGTAAGGTAGCCGATAATCGCTGAAGGTCGATCCGATCGAGATGAAATATTTTTTTAAGCGTTCGAGCGTCAACGGTGCTTCGAATTGGACCGTGCTGCGAGGTGTCGCGTGAGTGATATATTTTTCAAACCGCCCTTGGTTAGGTTCCGATCAAGGTTAGGTTGGATTTAGGTTAGGTTCAACTCGGGATGGTTCGATCGAACAGGAAAAATGCTTAAGGACGTGCTCTCGCGATCATTTTGATTTATACGCGAATATTTTGTACCTTCGGATATTTGTCGCTATCCCAGACACGCAACACCTCGCGTGCACGCGACGAAATTTACGCGAAAATCGTCCGCTTGATTCTCTTCGAACGAGGTTAGCGTTCACAGATGCGCGCGCACGAATCAGAGCGACTGAGCGCTCGGGGAAGCTGACGCGACGATAACTCTCATTTCGAGACGGTGTGCCGCAGTGGAATCGATGTAATTTAAGGATCCATTTAATTCCTTGAGACGACGATTGTAAACGTTATTTTATTATCGTAACGAATAGGTAACGAAGAAGTATTTATATAGCTATGCTTTACTACCTGAACGGTACCGAAATTGTTACAATAAAATTGCTCAGCGGATAAGGCGAACAGACGAGTTGTTCATCGCTTATTGTGTACAGTACAACACGAATAAAAGGAGGAAAACTACGGCTTCATTTTTCAATCTAACGAATCTCGCGCGGAGATATACGAGGTCTTTTAAATTTTTGTTTCGAGTCCATTCATTGTATTCCGTTTACACGCAGATCGAAAGCCTACGATAAATGTGAACGAACTTATTCCACGAAGAACATTGTATCATAAAGAAGCCATTTAAGGGAGGAAACAAAAAAAAACAATCGAATGGAAAAAAAAGAAGACACTGTAACCCGTAAAATGGTTCAAAGCTTCTGACACACGAAACCGGGATATCCGACGATACATTTCGTTGATGGATCGCCAACCAGTTCAGTTCCTACCAGTTTTCGGGGAATACAGAGTTCGAAACGATTCGCAGAAACTACCTGTCGCGTTACTTTCGCATTTTCATTTTCCCGGCGAAGTTTCTGATTGGCAGGATCGACTGTTCCACGAGAGTCGATTGTCGTTGGAACCCTATGATATAGACGAACGAGACGAGATTCCGCTTCGATCAGACGTCCGACGATCTCGTCGATGGTTGTCAACTGGAAAGTAACTCTGGCGGAGGCAAGTGTGATTTCTCGATCGGCTGAGATTGTCGGTCGGTAACGTTGGGTATTAATGCGAAGCGAATCGAGAGTCCGTCGATATGGAAGATCGGCGTGGAATCGGTCTGTACGTGGGCCGTATATAATTAGCCGCAAAACTTGATTAGTCTAGGTTATTACTCCATAGACCAGTTTGTACATCTAATTACAATACGTTATTGCGCATATTCATTGTGAATACGAATGCAATTATAAATTATCATAATAAAGTGTATGTTTATATACATGTACGGGTATTCGTTCGATTTATGTTCGGGTATCCGACCACTGCCAATATTGCCAATCCCCACTGCTACTCCTACGCGTGCCTCATCAATTATCCAGTTTTAGTCCGTTTAATTACGGCCGCTCGGTCAAAATTGCGGTCTCGATGATCGGTACGGGACGAATTTGTGGATCGCTTTCGTCGGGATTGACCGACGATATTTCTACGCGCACATGACACCCCCACTCTCCGGAAGATTACACGAATCGCTATATACGTTGCAGTAGACTTCATGGCGGAAACGTTATACGATAGTTGCTTTGTTTATCGTCGTTTTCGATTCTAATTTATTTATTTTCTTCTTTTCATGGATTATAAGTACAGGGTGGCTACTAAAAGGCTCAATAATGTAAAACAAAAATGACATTTACTGACATATGTACTTTCCGATTTTTTAGCACCTTTTTGGGAATATAATTAATAGATTTTCTTTCCTTTTAACCTTCGATGGAAGCTGTATATTTTACAAAAAGGAAAATGAAGAAGCTATAACTTCTTCAAACCTGTCAGTTTTTCAATGACCAC